CCCCCCCCCCCACCCTCCATCCAAGAAGAGGTGGGTTGGAACCAGGATGGTGGAGAGCTTTTCTGGGGTCAGCAGTGGTCTCCCCTAGACACAGGCACCTGAGCCCTGAGCCCTGAGAGGGCCGCGCTGGAGAAAACCGGCCAGAAGCCACACGGACGCTAAATGCCTGCACGTGGACAAGCGCTAACATCTACGTAACTTCCCACGGCGGCACTGTCCCCATGCGTGGTGCATGGCAGGCCCTCAGGGGCCGTTTGCCTCCCAAGCACGGTGGGAAAGGGGACTTAGGCAGCTCTCCAGAAAAAATCCCAATTTTTACATCAAATCACTCAAACAGCAAAGAGAAGCAACGATTGCAAAACGCCTCAAGAGGTGCAGACCAACCCGGGCTGCCCAAAACAAGCAACCATGTTACATGCGGGGCGGGGCGGGGGTGGGGGGAGGCTGGATGTGGCCCCGGGGCCTCCCATCCCAGACCCGGACAGTGGATGCTCAAAGTCATGACGGGGAGCCCGGCCTTGCCATCCGAAGGTCAGAGCTGCGGGGGCAGGTGTCCACACGGACGCTCGGCTACGAACGCCTCAAGCTCAGAGCCAGCCCCCCCGGCCCCCACCTCTGCTTTCCAGGAACGCGGCCTCCGGAGAAGGCAGGCAGACCAGGGAAGGGGCTGGTCAGGGGAAAGGGGACAGTGTCCCAGGTGGGAAAGGGAAGGCCATCTTGGGAGCAGGGGGCCTGTGACCACGGCACGAAGGTGACCCACGTCCCCAGGGCCGGGGGTGGGGTGCTCCCTCCAGGGGCCTTTTCCCTGACTCAGACTGGCCGTGGGAGCCCCAGGAGGGCCGGGCAGGGCGAGGGCAGCAAGACCTTCAGGTCGTCCTCGAAGCGCTGGGAGTCCGGGAAGGCCCCTCCCCCGTGCCCCACACTCGGCCTCCCGGAGTACTCCAAATCAGCTACAGGGGGAGGCGCGCAGGCCTCCCTGGCCTGGTGCTCCCTCACGGGGCGGGACTCCACCTTCCGGGGGGAGGATCCCAGAAGGGAAGCGGGGAGAGCAGAGACGGGTGGACACGGGCCCCCAACCGCCCCCCCGGACCCCGAGGGCCCCAGGGGCAGAGACCCTCTTTGCCGACGTAAAGCTGTGGCTGGTGCAGCCGCCCCCGCCACGGACCCCGGACAGGAAGAGGTCGGGCTCGGCGGGTGCCACGACCGGGCGGGACGGAAGCCGCCAGTTCTCTCGACAGGACCAGGCCCGAGCAGGGGTCGCAGACTGCTCCATCAAGGGCCAGGAGGCCAAGCCCCTCACCTTGCGGGCCACGCCAGCCCCGCCTCAAGTACTCAGTTCTGCACGCCCACCAGCGGCCACGGCTGTGTGCCAATAAAACTTTATTTGCCACGAGGGGCGGAGGGGCCTGACAGGGGTGCTCGCATCGCCACCTCTCCCAGGGCCTCGCCTCAGCCTAGGGGATCGAGTGAGGCACGTACGAGCAGGCCGCTAAGCGCAGCAAGGCGCACACACAAGGGCTGTTAAAGCAACCTGTCGCCTCGGGAGGGCCAGTCTTCCAGGAGGCGGTGGCGGGGTCACACCCATGGCCTCGTACCTGACGGAATTACCCTCAGCCCAGCTGGCACTTCGGCACAAAGAGCACACCCCTCGCCTTCCCAGCAGCCGGCCGGCCGGCGTTTCTCAAGAGGACAGAACAGGAAATGAGGAAAGAAGGCAGGCTCGAGCGAGGTTTGCACCAGGAGGCGGGGAGCCCGCAGGCACGGAGGGGGTGCTGAAGACACTGGGGAGACGGCAATCGGCGGTGACCTGCAGGCCGGCGCTCAGAGCCCACGCTGGCCGCCAGCGGGCCAGGGCTCCCTCCGGTCCCACCAGAACAACGGCACCGACAATCCCTCCAGCGTCTCCCCAGGTGGACACAGCCCGGTGTGAGGGGCACGGGCTCAAGAGGGTGTGCGACCCCCACACACCGGGCCCCTGCCTCCTTGGGCTGCACACCAGAAGCTCTCGGCTGAGACAGGGGGCACCCCCCCCCCCCCAGAGCCCAAGGTCTTTACGGACGCCACACGGGGGAAGATGTCAAGCCACGAAAAGGAATGGGAGGGAATCCCAGGAGGAGGAGGGGCAATGAACCCAGCGAAGGGAGGAAAGGGGAAAAGACAGCCGGACGGAGATCCACCCGGCATCCAGTTATCTCAGGTTCCAGGCTCTGCGCCTTCTGGAGCACAGGTTCCTCGGGCGGCCGCCAGCCACCCTTGGCTGATTCGGTTTATTACAACTGACACAACGCTACAAACTCCCGTCCTCCCTTGCCTGGACCACATCTCCAGTGCCCAGTGGCCACCTGTGGCTCGTGGCTCCCACGTTAAACAGCAAAGACACACAAGACAGAAAGTTCCACCAGACGCCGCTGGTAAAGGCCCTTCACCCACGTGAACGTGTAACATTCCACGAAAACATGCCCAGGGCATCAGGGGCTCCTGGCCTTCCGTCCCACCCCCCCAGAGCCTGGGGCCTCAGGTCAAGATCATCACTCCAACCCACTCAGGTCAGCCCCCTGGCACCGAAGACATGCAGGGCAGGGTCGTTCTCTGGGGGTGGGGGCGTGCGTTCCGGGCACTGAGGGGCGGTGAGCCGCATCCCTGGCCTCACCCACTGGATGCCAGGGGCACCCCCACTTGGGGCAACCACAAAGTCATCACCCAGCGTCCCCTGGGTTGACAGCCACTGTTCTAAACAGAAATGGCCTAACTTTGGGGTGAGGACGGATCTGAGAGGACGTCTGGACATGTCTGCAGGGCCCGGGGTTCCCCAAGGGCTTGGCTGGGGATCCATGGGGCTCAGGCTAGGACTGAGATGTTCTAACAGGAGGAGCCAGTCCAAGAGGAGACTGGGTCAGAGGTGAGGCCAATCAGAACGGGGGAAGAAGCTCTTCATGGAGAGATCAGACTTGCACTTGCGGGGGCCTAAGGCACCAAGCTGGAAGAAAAACCCAGAGGCCAGAAGGTTCTGGAACACCAGATACAGCTATAGTCCAGTAGAGATGAGGGAATTTAGAATCGAGGCTTAGGGGCTGGGATCAGGACCTGGAGAGGAAGAAGAAGGGGCAGGAGGGGGAAGGACCCAGTAGGGTCAGAGGCAATCCAGGATTCCTGGACAGAGGGAGCAAGTGGGGTACCAGGGTGAGGAGGCTGGACGAAGGGGGGGAGGTGTGTGCACCGAAGGAAGGGATAAGACACGGGGTCTAAGGGACCCCACAAGCCCACAGGCATGGGGACTGAAATGGGAAGGACTGGGGGCCGGGGGCCTTGGCTAAGGAATCTGGCTCATGAGCTGGGCCCTGAGAGGCTGGAGAGATGGGCCTGGACGTGAGGCCAGGTCTGGGTTAGAGATCAGAGCTCCTGAGACCCGAGGGGACAATACTGGCACTGAGCAGAAAACAGTGGGGGTACCTGGGCCGGGCAGGGTCAGGGCTGGTTGGAACTGCCCATCGAGGGGCTCCGCCTGGCAGAAACCAAGCCAGGAGGCTCACTTCCAAATCCGCCCCCAAAGCGGGAGCTCTGGGCACCGGGACACGGCCCAGTGAGGATGGGCACCCGGGTGGTGTCCCGGGAAGGGGGCCTCGGCAGTGCGACTCCGGCCCAGCTGGGAATCCGAGGGTCCAGGAGCAGAGGGAGCTTGGCCTGAGGGTCGGAGCCCCGGGTTCTGGGGCCCGCTGCCCTTGCCAGGGGCCAGGGGAGCCCGCGCTGAGGGCTCCGGGGGCACGGGACGGACAGAGCTGGGCGCCACGCAGGGGTCCGTACGCAGGCTCTGACTCGTCTGCGGCTCGGCTAAGGCTAAGGGTCGGGTGGCCTAAGCGAGGTCTGCGGGCTGCACTGCAGCTGGCCAGGCCGGCGCGGCGGGTGCCCGGGCTCCGGGGAGCCCGGCGAGGCCGGGGTGCACGCACCGTAGGGCTGCCCCTGCAGGTCGTACTGCTGCATGCGGTACACGGTGAACTCGTGCGCCGCGTCGGCGGCCGGCAGCGGCGGCGCCACGAGCAGCAGCACGGCGGGCAGGAAGACGATGAAGCCGAGCGGCAGGCACGACGCCTTCAGCATGTTCTCCAGCACCTCTCCCGCTTCTTCCAGCATCCTGGCCGGCGGCGGGGCCGCGCGGGGCGGCGGCGGGGACGGGACAGCGGCAGCGGCGGCGGCGGCGGCGGCAGCGGCGGCGGCGGCTCCCGCGGACTCACCTCAGCATGGGTAGCCGCCGGGGTCCTGCGGGCGCCGCGCCGGGCAGCCCGCGCCTGCTCCGGGGTCCTGCGGGCACCGCCACGGGCCGCCCCGCTCGCCGCGCTGCCTCCGGGGAGTTGTAGTCCTCCTGGCGCGCGCGGAGCCTCCTGGGAGTGGTAGGCCCACTCTGTTACTTCCCAACGGAGGACGCCGCGGTGGACCGTTGGGCTAGAACTGATGGCGTGTCACGTCAACTCCGAGTCCCGAAATACGGAGACTTTAAAACAACTATTTGCGGCCGAACTTTCTCCAACCCTGTCTCTTGTGGGGGGACGAGGGGGGCGGTGAGGGCCGCGGGGCAGGACGTGACCTTCCGACCCGGAAGGAAGTTGGAATAAGAGACGAGAGGGGCCAGCCCAGTGCGCGCAGTCTCCTGGGAACTGTAGTCCGGTTAAACAGGCGCAGGGCTCATGGGAGCTGTAGTCTTCCTGGCAGAAGTCAGAAAAATCCGTTAAAACAACCAAGACACGTAGATGTTAGACTCCGCGAGGTCAAAGACTTTTGTCCGCTTCGTGCGTTGATGTATCCCCAGAATTTAGTGCGAGGCCTGGCATACAGTGGGTTGGCTATACCGTTTGGGGATGAATGAATGAAACAAGAAGAAAGAAATCATGATAGAAGTTTCCTAAAGGGATGGTGCAGTGGGTTATGGGACTTGTAGTCTGGAGCCTGGAGTTTGTGCAGGGTCGGTGATAGGATGATTTCTATTTAGGCTTATTCGTATTGGGGGCATATTCATAGTAAAAAAAAAAAAAAAAAAAAAAAAAAAATTCTTTTGAAGTTCGTTGTTCATATATTTAACTGGGTGTCCCGTATTTGCTTTTTTTTGAATCTGGCAACCTTAAGATCACACTGTCTGCCTGCGAGGGGTCTTAAGGAACATCCATAACTCATACCCCCTGTGTGAGGGTACAGATGGGAAGACTGAGGCCACAGGGTGGCGAACAAGAAGGCCCTGCCCCCCAGTGAGTTGACATCCAGGCTTCAATACGGCTCCTGAAGGACTTGGGGGGACCCCCCGTTCTGCCCCAGGTGCGAGGTGACGTGTGCTGACTGATAGAATTCTGGAATCAAGTCTCAGTGCCGACCCACCCTTCCCAGCTGTGTGACCTTGGGCAAATTGCTTCACCTCGCAGAACCTCAGTTTCCTCAGCCACCCGATATGATGACAAATAATCAGATGCCCTTTTCCCAGCCACCCCCCCCCCCC